CTGCAAAACATTTGCACCTGAAAGAACACGTTGTCTTTGATGGGTCTGAAAATGAATTCAAAATAACTCTATGTTGATAAATAAAGATAGAGATTTACAACATCACTCATCAAACCAAATAGAGCCACGATCGGCGGACTGAAATGCCAAAACTATGAGCCGGAACCTCGCCGGAAATTCAAAACAAATGGAATCTCGGACAGCATATCAACGAACACCTGGACGGACCGGACACCAGCGACCTCAAGCGGAAGCACGACCCAAAGAAACAACAGACTACTGACTGAAAACTATCGGCTTACGTAGATCTGAGGGCTATTTTGGATGGCAGAAAAATGGAGACGATGAGCTACGTTTTTGTTGTAACGTTGTTGCGCAGCTTTTTTGTGTGTGTGTATGGTTTTGTGCGTCGTGGTGTATATGTGTGTATGAAGGTGAAGCTCGCCGGAAATGGCAGCCTCGTGGTGGACGACGGTTAGGCAGTGTTGTGAGCGTGCAGGTTGGCTGACTTCTGGGCGAGTGTAACAGTGGGGATCCGCTCAGGGGTGTTCAAGGTTAGAAGAGGAAGAAGCTATGGCTGAAGGAGTTGTCGTTTGGGATGGAGTTGCAGCCGGGGGGTAAGGCTAGCGGTGTGAGAGGTTCGACGATGAGGGGTGTGGACGTCGAGTTGAAGACGATAGGTAGGGGGGTCTCTTTGCTGCGCAGGGGTCGTCGGAGAAGATGACGAGCAGGGGGGCTCTGTTTTTGCGCAGCTCTTTTTGTGTATTTTTGTCCGTTCTTTTCATTTTAGGTTTTTCTCTTTTTTATATTGTACGTTTTTTGGTAGGGTTTTAGGTTTAGGGGTATGGGCCTAGGAATTATGGGCTTGAAAATTGTGTGCTAGGTCCAAAATTAGGCCTAAAAATAGGTTGCTCGAGCCCAAGTTCTATCCTTTCCCCGTGAACGAGATTAAAAATGTGATCTCAATTATTAATTAGTCCTACTATTCAAATAATTATTAAAATAAAACTAACCATTAAAACAAATCTATTTTTGGTATTTTCAAATATCATACTAAAATAAAAATACGATACTATTTTTGTATTTTTTTAGGATTAAAACTGACTACAAAACATTAATGAACCTATTTTTGTAATTTTGTTTTCTTATAATAAACTAGAGTAAAAGAGTCAAAATTACTTAAAATATATATATATTATGCCTAAATTAAATATTTTACGCTAATATATAAAAAATCTTGGGGAGGGTAAAAAATCACATGTCTACAGGAGTCAGCGTACCTACTAGTCCTTCTAACTTGAGATGTGATATTTAAGTCGATATTGATCCTTTTGTAGCCCATGCGAGGTAGTATCCGATTTTGAGGACTTAATATCTTCTCTTCTATTGAGGATCATGTTATACACATTCATCTGCTTCGCTGCTTTTACTTTTTATGCTTCATACCTATCTACTTTCATTGTACTGATTTATTGGACCACTGGTAAGTGTCGATGTCGACCACTCGTTACTACTTCTTCGAGGTTAGAGCTTGATACTTATTGGGTACGCGTTGATTTACGTACTCATACTACACTTCTGCATTAATTGTTCAAGTAGTGAGACAAGTACATTTGGAATGTCATCTTGGCGCATATGCGTAGATGCTGAGGAGACTTTGTGGTGAGCTATATTCCATGTTACAATCCGCAGTATACGGGGTCCTCGCCTTATTCATTTACTATATCCTGTCTATTTTATATTCCAGACAGATGTTGTATTAGTATGATACTTCCTAGTAGATGCTCACTTGTGACATTGGATTTTAGGGATTTAGATTCTATTCTTGGTTGTAATCTGTTATGATATCCTGGTTTATATTTTGACCACGTCCGAACATTTAAAAGTAAAAACATTAGTATTTTTCTGTGAAATCGAACAGTTTCAACTATTTATTTCATTATTTATTTTGAGGGGTATTTTAGATTATCTATTAGCATATTGATGTCATCGTTGGCTTGCCTTACGATAGCGTTGGACGTCATCACGGCCTATAGTGGATTTTGGGTTATGACATATTAGGCATCTAATATTTTCTTGACATCACATATACCTATGAACTTGCAAGACGAGAGAGTAATACTATAGAAAAGCCAAGAACAAGGATTTCCCGAATGATATGTAATACATATGTTGTGCCAAAATATGCAAGACCAACAATAAGGGCTTATACTGGAAATAGGTACGTCAATATCAAAGTAACACTAAGAACGGTTGGAAAATAGGAAAATAGCATCACCAATCCAATGAGATAATAAGGGTAACAACATCACGACATAAGATAATGGAAATATCAGCCCAGATCGGATATATTCTATAATTCTATAGCACATCCAAGAGAAGCAATGACTCTATAGTACTAAGGACAAAAACATCACCTCAGCTAAGCGGCACCTTCCTGAGGTGTTTCGGAAGGGCAACGTATGGCTAGGAAACTGATATCTGTGCGGCTACTATCCGCCAACTGGGGTCCCCTCCATATGTTAGATGAGACTATCAGTGCCTACAGAAAAAAAAATGTCAAAAAAAATTGAGAGAGCAGAAAAGAGAATGAGAATGAAAGAAAGCTTGATTGCATTAATGAAAGCTATTACAGAAAAGTAACGCGGTGTCGAGGGGGAGAGACACCAGTATAGAGAATTATTTGCTTACTTGAAAGTCTGATTACTTGATCCCCCTAATAATATTTAAAAATAAATAAATCAAAATTACAGGACATGACATAAATAAGCTAGAGAATCATAATGAAATACAGGAAGTAAAACTACTCTATATTTACAACAAAAAGGACTTAGATTCCTACAAGGTAAAAACAAGTCTGTTGGAAGCAACATTGTCTTTAGCATCAGGGTCTACGCGCGAGGCGCTGACCGCATGGCATGGGCCGATTGTGCTGACAATGGGTGCGCGCTGGGGCGCAGCCTACTGAGGGACGTTGTTGGCATCTGCCTGCAGCTGGGCGCTTGTGAGGGCTATTGGTGGATCGACATACGCACATGCACGTTTGTCATTTGGAGTGGCCAAGACCACGGTGTCATCCATGGTGCTAGGAGTTGGGAGGCTTGCCAGCATGCCATGGGGCATGTTCAAGGGGTTATGGGTAATGGCTGGAAAGCTTCCCCATGACATTCTCCCCCACTTGAGTTGGCGACGTTCTCGACATCTTACTTTCAAGATAATCATCAATCAGGCTCTTGTATGCTTTAAGGTTTGTTCCCATCTGCCAAGTATTCTCCTCTGTATCATAGCCATGTCATTTCACCAAGAACTCTTTGTAATCTTTTCTTGAAGAGTGAATCACTCGATTATCGAGAATAGCTTATGCACGCCTTCTTCCGGTTGAATTGGGGCCTCAAATATTGGGTATTGTGAATTGGCTCCGCGAAGGATCCTCCATGTCTTCCCGAAAATGTTTCAGAAGGCTGACATGGAAGACTGGATGAATCTTCCATCAGGCTGGGGTATCCACCGGTATGCAACTTTCCCAATGCGCTTCTCAATGGATAAGGGTCCAATGTATTTTTGCAATAGGTGAGGGTCATGGACCCCTACAAATAAGTATCACTTTGGAATTTTCACCATCACTTTGTCTTCCACTTGGTATTCAACAAAGCAACGATTTTGATCAGCATGCTTTTTCATCCACTTTTGGGCTTTCACAAGATAGCTCTACACTATCTCCAAATTTTACTGCCATTCTTTCGAGAAGCCAGCGGCTCGAGGAGATTTTGACATGTTGTGGGAATAGCAGTTGTTGTCTGATAACAATTTGAAAAGCAATTTTGTTTGTGCTAGAGCTTTTTTGTGAATTGAAACATAATTGAGCAGCATCCAGAAGCTTCACCCAATTCTTCTGCGATCCGGTAACAAAACAGGGAAAGTATTCCTCTAGCATATCATTGAACCGCTCCGTCCGGCCATCAGATTGCGGATGAAAACTTGAATTGTGGCTCAACTTGAACCCGAGGCACTTAAAGAGCTGAGTCCAAAAGTTGCTAGTGAAGCGAGAGTCTCAATCACTAATGATGTCTTTAGGCAGGCCTTGACAACATGAGAGAAGAAGAGTTGAGTTGTATCTTCTGCTGATATATATTTTGGGGTTGCTATAAATATAACGTATTTTCAAAACTGATCTACCACAAACAAGATAGTTGTAAGATCTCCGACCTTAGGTAATCCAGTGATGAAATCCAATGACATGCTTTCCCCAAGGTCTTTTTGGAACAGGCAATGGCTCTAAAAGCCCCGCTTGTGTCAAGCGGTCAGACTTGTCTTTCTAGTATACTGGGCAAGTCTTCACATACTGAGCAACATCATCTGCCAATTGAGGCCAATAATAAGCACGGCGCAACAATGTCATGGTGCGTTCTTCCCTTGGGTGGCCGGCCTACAAAGTATCATGGCACCATCAGAAGAGTCCTTTGGAGATCTCCTCCTTTAGAAACATAAAGTCGATTCTCTTTCACCTTCGAGATAATTATTAGTAAATTTAGACAATTGAAGAATTTTGAACAGTATAACATAAGTTTAAGAAAAATAAAAATACTCCAAGAGTAAGAAAATATATATCAATGTTATATTAAAAAAAATAGTATCAAAATATTAAGCCAATTAATAAGTTAATAAAAAGTCATATTACTAAATATATAGTACTAAGTACTTGATAATTAATAAAGAATAAATAATTTATTTGATTAATATATGATGTGTAATTTGTATAGATTTTATTATATTTTCGCACACTGCATTAAAAAATAAAATAACATTAATATTTATTTTTAAAAAATATATCAAATCATAATTTTATAAAATTAATATTCTATTAAATAATCTGCGCATCGCACGGTTTTCTAACACTACTTACGGAAAGGTCAATATACAAATTATAGTGTCACGTCACGAGTTTACTATCAGATTTTCTAAGCTCCCTTATTAACCACGCAAAGAAAAGCAGTTTAGATAAAAGAAAGCAGATAACAAAAAGAACAGCCCCCCCTGATATTTAGAGGAAAGAGTGTTGTACTCTTCATCAACCGGAGTCATAGAATTGTCCCAATTCTGGTAAAACCATTTTCTCCTATATCCCTCTCTTCTCTTTCTTCTTTCTTCTCACCCCCCGATCTATCAAGAAAACACCCTTCACACCTACTCTTTACCCAGTAACCCCAGATCTTCAATCCCACTGAAATTCTTGTTTCAATTTTCCCAGTTGAGCAGCAGCTTTTAGCTGAGATTGAGTATTTATTATGTGTATGTAGAACTTGTGTACATATGAAAGAGTGACGAGTTGGGTTTAGGAAATTTTTTTGATGGATACACAAAGCTGGAAAGATGTGTACAGGGGCATGTCATCCGATAACATCAAGGGGTTGGTTCTTGCTTTGTCATCAAGCGTATTCATTGGTGCTAGCTTCATTGTTAAGAAAAAGGGGTTAAAGAAAGCTGGTGCTTCTGGTGTCAGAGCTGGTACTAACATCATTTATACTCCCTTTTCAATTTTGAAATAGATATAGAAGATTCATATATAATTGATTTAGTTTGCGTGTACTTGTGAATTTCTTTGCTTTAGTGAATAATAGAGGACTGCTGCTAAAGCAACGATTATCTTTATTGGCAATATTCTTTTTTTAAACGGATGCATACATAAGTTTTACCTAAACAAATGCCACTGGTGGAGCTACATGCAATTAAAGGAATTGAATCCCCTTCTTCGAAAAGTTATACCGCATAAATTGAGTAAAAATAATTTTTTTATTCATATATAGAATTTTGAATTCACTTAACATAAAAGAAATATAGATTTAAATCCCAAATGTGCCATTTTTGAACCTTGTCACAACTCATGGCTCCACTGATGGATGGATAGATGATTTTTGAAGTGAACTATGTTATGGGGATCTTATCAGTTGAACTAAACTGGTGAAGTTCTGAATGTGACAGATGGTCTCATTTATAGTAACCGACTGAAAGTAGAAAGTGAGCCAAGGTTTTATCACAGTTTGGTTACTCCACTCTTAGACGTGATCAGCTTAGGGGCTAGATTGCATGTTACCAAGTACCTTGATGCAGTGTCTAAACTGAATGCTAATTACAATATAATACGTCCAAGGTCCTTTTGCATTGTGGCGTAGTAGTAGCAGTAGATGTTGTTGTATCAGAACAACTAGGAAGAGTTCTGAAAAAGGAATACAAAAAAGGTGCTACATAACCAAGTAAAAAAGTGAGAACTTGTGGTTTAGGATTTTGTAAGCTGGTATATTCAAATTTGTTTGAAGATCAGCTTTAAAGAATTCTTATGAGTTCTCATTAATGATAATTAACTTGAGGTGTTTGGTCTAGAGGTTTAGAGATGGAGCAAATGAACGATGATATTATTGAGCAATAATCTCCTACAAATACATGTATGTAACAAACTAGAGAGAATTTAGGACTAGACTAACATCGCATCTAATCATCTAGATAAGATTCGATAGGTTCAAAAGAATATAAATTCAAATCAAACTCTTCAACTAATGATAAGAATGAATTATATGATTCTAACTAATCGATCTTGCTAGTGCTTATCTTAATACACCCCCTCAAGTTAGGTGTGGTGCAGCGACACCTAACTTGTCTAAGCGGCGTAAGAAGGTTTGCTTGGGCAGCGGCATGGTGAGAATATCTGCAGCTTAGTCGACGAAGAGCAAGTGTTTCACGACAGTGTGATGTCAAGCCGAGTGGTTGTGAAACACATGCCCTATATCGACCAAGTTGCAGAGATTCCCACCAAGCTGCTACGATGCTACCCAACCCGGTCTTCTTCTGGTGCTTAGATACATCAGGTATTACTGCACCACACATAACTTGAGGGGGTGTATTAAGTTAAGCACTGGTAAGATCAGTTAGTTAGCCTTAGGTTATTCATTCTTATCCATAAATTATAGAGTTTTTTTATTTGTATTGGTTTGAATCTATCTAATCGTATGTAGAAGTTTCAATAATTAGATATGGATCTAGTCTAGTCCTAGATTCTTTCTAATTAGTTACACACACATGTATGTATAGGAGATTTTTTATCATTATTATTATCACTAGAGTTTGCTCCTCTTCTCAAGCTCTTTATGTTGTATCTAATCATCTAGATAGATTCAAAAGAATATAAATACAAATCAAACTCTACATCTAATGAATAACCCAAGGCTAACTAACCGATCTTACTAGTGCTTATCTTAATATGGTCGAGTACCTAGTTCCCCCCTTGGTCTAATAATAAACTTGTTATCCCATCTTTGCTTAATAATAGCCTTTTCCAACTTGAATGTGGAGATAACGTTGACCTCTTTGGTTAACTGTCCCTGCTCTTGATGTTTACTTGGCCATGATACTCATTGTCCTTTCGATGCTATTTAGACTTGGTTGAATCCATTGAATATGAAATGTTAGAGTAATTATTGTTGTTTCAAGTGGTATTTGGACTTGAAATTGGCATGTTGTGGATTGGTAAATGTAGTGTAGCCTCAAATAGTCAACCAACAAATCCATCTATATATGATTGCCAACCCTATTTGCATTTGTTGTTCCATAGTACTATAGTTGCTTGGTTTCAAATATTTTAACCTTAAACATTTGTTGGAAGGTACTCCCATTGTCCCAATTTATATGGCACACTTTGATTTTTAGTTTGTCCCAAAAAGAATGTCACCTTTATATATTCAGGGACAGTTGAACATTAGAACTCCTTTTACCTTTAATGAAATGATGTGTAGCCACACAAATATCCGAGTCTTGTTTTCGATCATAAATTTTCAAAAGTCTTTCTTTCTTTCTTAAACTCCGTACCTAATCAAATGGTGCCACATAAATCGGGACAGAGGGAGTAGTTCATTACATATTGCAACTAATCAACCACTTAAGGGCAGCATGCCCAATGCTCAATCTGGGAACTTATAGTTAGAAAATTTTCACACATGATATATTTGGTCATTCATCTACATTCACATTAGTTTTTAGGATTCTTATACTTTACCAAGTGTCTTTTGATCTCCTACATGGTTTATAATGCTTTTCTTTAAAGTCAACATTTGGTGATACACTGTTTCTATGGCTTAACAGAATTTATTTTGCAGGAGTTGGAGGATACTCATACCTATATGAGCCTCTTTGGTGGGTCGGCATGATAACAAGTGAGTTATATACTACAATGCAGTTGTTGGCTTCACATTTTTACCCCCTGTTAAATTAAAGAAATTTGAACCAAAACANCCCCCCCCCTTTTATTTCTGGCTTATATGCTTTAAGTTGCATAGTTCTCACTGTTAATGTACATGCTCTATGAAAAAGAACAAGTTTTATGCGTTGTTTGATTAAAATATAACTATTTCTTGCTCCATTAGATCATCCTGCATGTTCTTGTAATATGCATAATGTGATTAAGCCTCTCCCCTTTTTAAGACGCTTTTGGTTCTTTTTTTTTTTAGGCTCTTCTTCTTTTCCCCAATAAATAAAATAAAATTGGAAAATATAGACCAGCTTCAACAAAGAAAGAAACAAGATCTTAAAAAAGAGAAGCTAATTTATTGAACATTATATCGAGCATTACGGTAAACTATAAAGTCTCTTCCTCTGAATGACATGCAGCTGTCTATATCTGAAACTGATCTTGTGTATATGTCCGCTCTCTGAGTTATCTGGTATTCATACTACAAAGTTTTAGGTTTAGAAAGAATAATTACATGAAAACATCATTTGGTGCTAACTATTTAAGTCCACTAACGAACCTGTCTCTCTACAAGCTCCTCCTTAATGCTCATCTTCTGAATTGCTTTACTTGTTCAAGCCAGAGGGGGATCCTCATCTTTCTTATATCCTGGTTGTAACTTTTTCTCGATGAAATTGTGGTGGGAGGGCAGCAAGTTAGTCTGTTAAGAGTTTAGCAAGATCAATCTTAAGATATCCAGTCTAAGACCTTCAATTGGCTTATTATAAATATTCTTCCTGCTCGGATGATGAGGGTGGAATTATGCTGTTCCCATCTGCTCTGTGTTTTCTTCCTTTCCAAATAAGACGTGGTGAGAGGGGAATGACAATATTACTTTTGGATGGAAGGCTCCCTGCAGAGAATAAGAAGAAGGACAAGTGAGGTGGCACTTGGCAGAAGGGCAGCACGGCCTGTAGGGGAAAAGTTGGAGAAAGGCTGTTGCTAGATGAGGCATTAAAGCAACCCATCTGACGGACCCTTGTAGATAACATTGATCAATAGGGTAACTGTACTGGAGCGAATCAAATATCTTTTGTGATCTTAAAGCTCTTGCATCTTTTTGATGCCATTTAATGCATCTACTTGATCAAAAAATTCTGTTAATTCCTTCTTCTCCATTAATCTGATGAAAATTCTTCCTTCCCCAAACATCATGTTGATACCGCATGATTGTCTTTTCTATTAACGTTGACAAGATCGGCATGGACTTGAAATTTAACTGCTTTTCCAGATATTAATGGTTCCATTGACATCAATTGAAGTTTATTTGACCAAAATCTGGTGGCCCTTGGTGTTCTTATCCTACCATTTCTCTTGTGTTCTCTTACTACAAACATAGAACCGTTAAAGGTAAAGTTTCTGTTAAAAATAAATGGTGAAGTTGCCATTATTTGGTATAATAGTTGTTAAAAGGAGAATTGGGTTCTGAATGAAGATGCTGTTAGTACTTATTTTTTGAGAGTAGGTCTTTTATGCAGGATCTGTGAAAATTCTAGACTTATAGCGGAAGTATCTATACAGGTTTGAGACTGAAGATGAACTACTCTGTGTTTGATTTTGTTTCTTGAGGCGTTTCGTGGAGAAAGGATGTATACTGTCTCCAAACTGGCTTTGCAAATATTCTTCCTATGTTAATTGTTCAACCATTTCTTTCTCTTTTTCATTTTATTTGGATCTGATTATTTTGTTTTCTGGCAAGTGTCTGGATTTGATTATTTTGCTGGGGTCTGATTCTGAAGATAGAACTCTGACTGCTTGCTGCTATTGCAACAGTGATTGTTGGGGAGGTAGCTAATTTTGCAGCTTATGCATTTGCCCCTGCTATTTTAGTCACTCCTCTTGGTGCACTCAGTATTATAATCAGGTATAGTATATGTTGTAACTCATCCAGATCTAATTTATGGTTTGATTAATGATTAATTTGTTATTAAACCACAGTGCTGTGCTCGCTCACATTATTTTGAGAGAGAAGCTACACACATTTGGAATTTTAGGTTGTGCTTTATGTGTTGTTGGGTCCACCACGATAGTGTTGCATGCTCCACAAGAACGTGAGATTCTATCTGTGACAGAAGTGTGGGATCTTGCTACTGAACCAGGTAGTTTCTTGGTTCATATTGTTGTTGTTTCTTGTTTCTCCTTTTTCTACCTGATCTCTCGAGCTTAACATCTTTTCAACTCTCCTGCAGCTTTTCTCCTCTACGCAGTGGTGGTGATAATAGCTGTCCTAATTCTTATATTCCACTATCTTCCACAATATGGGCAGACACACATTATGTTTTATATCGGAGTGTGTTCACTAATGGGTTCTTTATCAGTATGTAACTGTTCATATCTGATTTGGTTCTTCCAAATAATTATGCATTTGCGTTTCTCCAATTTCCCACATGTATTTTTCTTATTGAGATTTCAGCTTTACTGTAACAGGTTATGAGTGTCAAAGCACTCGGAATTGCTTTGAAATTGACATTATCAGGAACAAATCAGCTAATATATCCACAGACTTGGGCTTTTACTTTGATTGTCATTGTGTGTATTCTTACCCAAATGAATTATTTAAATAAGGTGATTAACTCCTCCCTTGTGCACTAAGTTTCTCCAATATATCTGCAGTTTGCGTGATAAATTTTGTGCATATCTTGCTACTAATCAGTGAAAAATGTTTGTATGTTGCTAAGATAATAAGATTATGCCAGCCTAGACTTGCTCTTGCAACATTGGCATGATTAAGCATACATTTAACTCAGGTTCATTGTAGAAGTGAAAATAAACAATTAGGAGAATGCAAAGCTGCTTCTTTTTTGTAGGGAATTATTATCTCTATGCTACATAATGAACTATTATAGAAATCCTATCTGATTTCATGACACAGTCGACATTTTTCTTAACTAAAGCTTAGGGCTAACTTCATCTGACCTGGGAGTGTAGTGGTGCCCAGGATCTATAAATAAGATATCTCAGGCTCATCTCACAGATACCTGGGATTTGGAATCTAACTATTAGACCAGAGCGTGGACTGAAGGCTCAAACTTTTGCCGTTTTCTGAAACTAACATTTTATATTTAAAAAATCATAGGAAAAGGCGGCAAATTAGTTATTTTGTGTAATATGAAAGTCACATCATAAAAGCATGATGTAGAATAAGTTGGAACAAAAAAGAAAAAGAAAAGGAACAAGTTGGAAAAGCAGAGAAACTAGTACAGGAGAAAATTACTTTTAGGCTTAAATTCCCATATTTAACTGGGGTGGGATCAACTTGAACAGAGCTTAGTAAGGTTTAAGCTTGGCTTATTTGATGAAGTTCAACCATGTTTGTACATATCTAAGGATCCAACGTCTGAAGGAAAGGCAAAAGTGATTTTTTTATTTTGTTGCGTGCTTATAGTCATTATTTTATCTGTCCCTTCACGCTCTCTTTGATGAATCTTCAATGCAGGCCCTGGACACATTCAATACAGCAGTTGTCTCTCCTATATACTATGTCATGTTTACCTCTTTGACCATTTTAGCCAGTGTAATCATGTTCAAGGTAATAACTTTACCTCATCTTAGACATTTTAATGTTCAGTTTGCTTTGTGAATAATAACTACAAATTGTGCTGGATCTGGAACTTAACTCAGTGAAACATCAAGTTTGCTAAAGCCTTTTCCTGGTTGTTTGATTTTCTTCATCCAGTCCTTTTGGACACTATAAACACGGACATGCATGAAGTTAGGCATATCCAACTATTAGGCCATCTAATAACATTTTGAGGTCTTGGGTGGTTGAATCTTTGAAGGCAATTTGTTCTAATGCTTTAGGACAATGTGAAGCTTTTTGAGCATCCATATTTAATTATTTTCATGGTAGCTTCAAGATATCTTATTCTTCTCGTTGTGTTTGAGTGAACAGGACTGGGATAGGCAAAATCCAACACAAATTGTAACAGAAATGTGTGGCTTTGTGACAATTCTTTCTGGGACTTTTCTTCTTCACAAAACCAAAGACATGGTTGATGGTATGGTCTGCGGTTTTTCTTGTGGTATTTAAGTTGGCATCATCATAGGGTGACCAATTTCTCAATGCATTTCTTAATGGAATCAAATACAGGTCCTGCCATGCTGCCTGTGCGACTTCCCAAGCATGGTGACGAGGAGAATGGTTTTGGACAAGAAGGTATCCCTTTGAGGCGGCAAGATTCCTTGAGATTACCATAATGTATGATTCTTTTCTTTTCCTTCCTTTCCTATTTACTCCCCGCTTCACCAACATGTCCAACTGTTTTAACCACCCAAATTCAGCTGCACCATTCTCGTAACTTTTACTTCTCAGAAGAGACCACACTCAGATTGTATACTACTGGGGCACTGTTTTGTCATATTCAGCGAGGTAAATGAAGGAAGAGCCATTTCACAACGTCTTGGAACCATGGAAATACCAGAAATTTGTTCATGTAATTGCAAAGCCTGTAGTTAATCACACATGATCAGTTCCCAATGTATTTCCAAGCAGATTTGGTTCCACAAGAACTTTCGTGACATACCTGTAAAAATTATGAGTATATTTGATTATTCAAGAAGAACCAGATCTGCTTGGTTGTGGCCCGATTCATCGTTCAGTCACACGAATGAAACTAAGCTAGTTTGGCATTTGTATTAATGGAATTGGTTCTCACTTTGTAATAGAGCAGGCAAAATTAGTTCTATACATCTCATAGATGTAGGATAACTGAGCGCTGGTCTGGGACATAGTCAATGATCATATAATTGTTTGGCCTTGTTCCTTGATTGTTAATGGATTTCCATGCCATTGACATTGTGGGAGAAAGGGAAACAAAACATAACACAGGATTTAACCCGATTATGTTAGTTGACCATAGTTAGTGATAAAGTTAGAGGTGAGAATGTGAATATGATCATGTTAAGTTTTTGAATATTTTTTGAAGTTCCCAAAATTTGGTTTAGGGCAGTTTTTGGGTGAATTTTTTTTCCACTCACAAAATTTCAACTTTTCTTCAAATAAAATACATCACAAATTCAACTTTTAAAAATTATTTTTCAACACAATTTTAAATTTTTTTGGGTCAAGTTTATGTCCAAATGCTGGAAGAGAAGGTCACAGCGAAATTAGTCGTTAAGTGGAAGTGCAATAATATTTTCGCAATATTAATAAACTGGTAGACTTGAACGTGTATATCAAATATTCAAATGTTTGAGTAAACTAACTAGGATTAGTGCATTAGTCGTTTTTCTTATATCTGTTTGGATTGCAAAATATGGGTGAGATGTTCTCACTATTGCGTTCGTTAAAGCAATGAATTGAATGAAAAAGTGAAAACAATTTGTTCGACTAAATTTATTTAATATAAAACTCTTTTATTTCTCAATACCAAAGAGATAGAAAGAAGGGGTTTTGACACAGTTACCCACAAAAACAAAATTATTTACCCTTGTTTACCCATTTGTTTTCCTACTCATAAATTAATTACATTTCCTACCCATAATAGGTTTTGTGGGGAATTTTTTCTTTATTCTCCAATTCTTTTTTATTTCTATGCTTATTTTCTTTTCTTTTTTCTTTTTTTCCTTTTCTCCTTTTCTTTTTTTCTCGTTTTCTTCTTATTTTTTTCTTTTTTCCTTTTCTAATTTCATTTAACTTCTTTTTTTATATTCTTTTTCTCTTCATAATCTAATTTAGTTCAGCTTGAGGAAACAGAATGAGTATTTAAGATACCACTTTTACAATTTAAAATAGTAAAATATTCATATTTTTCCAAAACGAAAATATATAGTGATCTGAGACATAACAAAAAGTAAGTATACTATGTAACATAACAAAAAAGTTAAGTATACTATGTGTAAACATATAAGAAAAAATCTATGAAAAATCTATCCATAATATATTCAAACAGTTCAAAACTTATTAGAAATATGGTAATTACAATATTATTCAATAACAACAACAACATCAACCCAGTAAAATCTCACTGGTAGAGTTTGGGAAGGATAGTGTGTACGCAGACTTTACCCCTACTCCGAAGAAGTAGAGAGGCTATTTCCAGAAGACCTTCGGCTCAAGAAAATAAAAAGACAAAAGGAGACAATATTAGTTTCACAAAAGAAATCATAGGAAAAATAGGAACAACATAAAATTCAGAAGAAAAATGCAAAGCAAAAGCGATGGCTAGTAAATAGGTCCTGAACTAAAAAGCGAAATAGTAAGACACTACATTGCCACTAGCTATTTTAGACAAAAATCCTACCAGACTAGGCTCACAAAGGTACCAGGTATGGCAAGACTCAACTACCTCCTAACCTACAACCCTAATACTCGACCTCCACCTCTTCATATACAGTATTATACATAAAATGAAAACTAATAACAAAACATATTTGAAAAATTTAAGAAAAGAAGAGAGAATATGCGCTTATAGTATAGTCACGAGAGAAATATATTGAGCAGTTCAGACATAAACTAAGAATACGGATATCCCAAGTTTAAATTCTACTTTGGATTTGAAAATTTATTCTAGCTTTTATATATGTAGAACGTTTTCTCAGAAGTTATTCCGTCAGTTAACTCTCCCGGATTATGGTTTGTTAGCAAAGACGCACAATAATGTGAAAGCTTGAAGTACGTCACAAGTTCAACCTTTGTCGATATTTCGTCTTTTACAATTTATGCAACATATTACTATTTACTGAATCTATACTCCTCCAGGATAAGAGTAAAGTTTGCGTATACTCTATCCTCTCCAGACCTCAGTAGTGAGATTTTACTGGGTAATTGTTGTTGTTATTGTTATATTATTATTTGTTTTGAATGTTGATTTATAGTTATTGTAATATTTACATGTAGTTTGCAAAAATATTTAAAAATAAAAAATTAATTTAAATTGAGAGAGGGAGTGAGGCAAACTCATATTCCTTGGAGATCCAACATTGCGCGCATCGAAACACGTACAAGATTTTGGCCAATATTGTCCATTATCTTTGAGGGTAGGTCTATTTTGGTCCCGCAAATATAATCCTAATCATATTTGGTCCATTAAGTATGTTAAAGTGGAGCACCTTTAGTCTCACTGACACAACATATTCAAACACTAACGGTGTTACCCAACTCTGATTCATGAATCAAATCTTCTGCTCTGAAGCAAAACGTTTCCTTTCCTTTTATTGGATAACGCAAATTATCACTTTAATGTCTCATTTTTAGATAATGTCTTCAAAGATTTTAACCTTGAAAAATATCCCCTTTTGTGCCAGTTTTCAATGAGAAAATGACATTGTATAGCCGTTGTAAAAACAATAGCCGAAACAATATATAAAATTTATATATTTTTTGTATATTGCAATGACCCGATAGCTCATCTAGAGTTTTAAACCTTAAATCCATGTTTCGAAGCCTCTGATAGCTTCTTTTAAGCCTTCTTCGAGTTGCGTGCGTAGTCCGGGTATTTTCCGGAAGACTTTATGTTAAAAATTGATAAAATATGAAATTTTGCCTTAAAAATTCATTTGAGTTGACTTCGATCAATATTTTGAGCAAACGAACTCGGGATTCATGTTTTGACGGTCTCGGTGGGTCCGTATCGTGATTTAGGACTTGGGCGTATGCCCGAAATCGAAAGGTCCCTAGCTCGAGTTATCGCTTTTTGTTGAAATTTGAAAGTTCAAAGGCTTAATGACTTTGAAGGTTTGACCAATGTTTGACTTTATTGATATCGGGTCTATATTTTAGTTCTAAAACCCGGTATAGATCCATTACTATATTTATGACTTGTCTGTCAAATTTGGTGAAAACGAAGTTAGTTTGACGTGATTCAGAGTTCGGTTGTTAAAATAGAAGTTCTAAAGTTTTCTTGAAAATTTTATTTGATTTGGTGTCTGATTCATAGTTTTAGGTGTTATTTTAGCAATTTGATCGCGTGAGCAAGTTCATATGTTATTTTTGGACTTGTGTGCATGTTTGGTTTGGAGCCCCGAGGGCTCTGGTGAGTTTCGGATAGGCTGCGGAATGAAATTGGACTTAGAATCATAGTTGATGCATTTAAATTATGGTGTTTGCTTCATATCTCGCATTTTGGATTTTGGTCCGAATTTCGGGTTTGGACTAAGCGAGCCTAGGAGTTGACTTTGTTGACCTTTTCAATAATGGCCTAAATTGAATCTTTTGCAATCGTGAGTAGTTCCTAAGGTTTATTTTGAATTATTTGGTTGGTAATTTGCTAGATTTAGTTGGTTTGGAGACTTGTTTAAAAGGCAAAGCTATGGTTGAGCGTTGAGTTGATCTTTAGAGCGAGGTAAGTGTCGTGGTTAACCTTGACTTGAGGGATTATGACTTGTTTTGCCTATTTGCTACTTGTTTAGATGTTGGGTACAACGTATATGTGAGGTGACGAGTACTTATGTGTTGTTGTTGAGTTAAAGCATGCGGGTGAGACTTGTTTGTTTTGTAATTTATTGCTTTCTTGATCATAATCTCCATGCTTAGACTAGTTTAATTACCAAATTGATCGTTCTTCCCGCATTTATGGATTGTCTATGATAATTGAGTATTGTTTCTAAAGTTGAGGTTGGTTTTGTCGAACCATTGTTGACGTAAAGTTTGTCCTTGTTTATTTCATCTCCCTATTGTTATATGTTCATTATTACATTGTAAGGGTGAGTGTTAATGGATGAAGGGTGATGTCGTGCCACATTTGAAAGTTATGTATGAAGGGTGATGTCGTGCCATATTTGAGAGTTAATGCACGAACAGTGATGTCGTGCCGTATCTATTGATTTATGATGAAAGTGAGAGTAAAAGCACGAACGGTGATGCTGTGTAGTTTTGTTCATTATGTCTATTCGTTTTGCTGGTTAAGGGCTTATTGACTGTTTCTTATTATCATTCCATGCTGTATTTATCGTATCTTGTACCTCTTTCGCATGTCCCCTCCCAACAGTACATGCTTAGCCTTTATTTGTTGTTATGTTGTACGTATATTATTATCTGCACAAGTTTATTTACGTGGGTGTCTTGTCATAGCCTCGTCACTACCTCGTCGAGGTTAGACTCGACACTTACAGAGTACATTGGAGTTGTACTCATACTACACTCTGCAATTCTTGTGCAAATTTTGGTACTGGTCAGCTGTCCGTGAGGCGTTTCAGCTCGGATTTGCTTTTGGAGACTCGAGATAGATCTGCTGGCGTCCGTAGACCTTGAGGTCCCCTTCCACCTTCCCCTATTTACTGTTCTTATCATTCGAGACAGTTGTACTTATTTCAAACTTTGTATGTAGTAACTATAGAAGCCCGTGAACTTGTGACTCCAGATCCGGGGTGTACTTAGATATTATTGATTTTTATGTCATTCTGCATTCAATTTTAGTTTCATTTCAGCTTAATTGATTTTACTTATTAAAATTGATTTAAAGATCCTCTAACGTTGGCTTGCCTAGCAAGTAAAATGTTAGGCGTCATCACGAATTATTGGTCGTGATACACACACACACACACACACACATATATACACGTTTTGTATGTTAATATACAAAAATTATACAAATTTTATATACTTTATCGGCTACCAGATGTAAATAGTTTCTGGCACAGGCTAAAAGTAATAACATGGTTATTCGTTTGCTTCAATAATAAGCCTAGAGGTGATCCTTGCAGCTCTATTTTTTTCTTCTTCAAATTTTAACATTTCTTTTTGGAAAAATCAACCGAAAATTTTAAAATGTACATATATACAAAAAAAAATATAAATTTTATATATTTTTCAGCTATTATTTTTACAGCGGCTATACAATGTCATTTTCTCATTGAAAATTGGCATAGAAGGGGATATTTTCAAGGTCTAAATTTTAGAAGACATTATCTAAAAATGAGGAATTAAAGTGATAATTTGCGTTATCCAATAAAAGGAGATAAAACGTTTTGCTTCAGAGCAGAATATTTGCTTCATGAATCAGAGTTAGGTAACACTGTTAGTTTTTGAACACATTGTGTCAGTAAGACTAAAGGTGCTCTACTTTAGATAAGAGACTAAATATGCTCAGAGTTATATTTGAGGTACTAAAATAGACCCTCCCGCATATTCCCACCGACAATTTCTTCAAAATAAAAAGTTAATAGACTACATTAGGAAAAAAAAAAAGAAAAAAAAGGAAAAAGAGAATGACAACATTGTAGTAACTTGCTTGGTGTTTGTTTCCCAATTGTAGGTACGACAACTTGAAAGAAGTAAGGTTGCAATCATCAATCAGGTTTTCTGAAGGAAAGCATGGGGCCATTGGCGGACACAGTGAGAAGCAAGTCAAAGCAAGCGTTGCTGCTGTGGGTCGATGGCGTAAGAGATGCTTGCTGTCTCCACCGTGTCATCATCTACTCCCTCAGGTTCCCTTTCCTATTAATTACTCAATCATGTCATTCTTTTTCCCCCGTTTTTTAATCGGAATTTTGATTTTGTGTTTCTTATTTGAAGGTCAAAGCAGCTTGCTATCCGTACGGGTCAGTGTTTTCTGTTGAATGGATTCATCTTCTTAGGAAGGTTCTATCTCTCTCTCTCTCTCTCTGTGTATGTAATGTGTTGTGCACTTGTTTTTGGGTTGGGGAAGCGGTTATTAGTTGAATCATAGGTTTCTAGTGGTCCAAGTGACCACAATTCAGATCTTTGCGGAGACAAAAAATCTTGGCGATTTCTTTCCAATTGCGGCCAAGGCCTTGTTGGGCAGAGTAGGTACTCAGTGGAATAGTCCAGATGAGCATACTGCCCTGGACACCAGGACTATTTTAAAATGAAGAGATAGGTTTCGAGCTACATTCTGCACAATGAGAAGATTTTATGGAAGACTAAAGAGCTAAGTACTAATTATTAAAAGTGAACCTTAAACTCCGTATATGAGGTTTACTAAAGACGGTCAGTCCTAGCTTGGATAAAAGAGGAGGGTTGCTAATATATTGATGTACAGTGTAAAAGGAGTCTGATGTATGTGTTTTTATTAAGTTGTAGTGGACCTAAATAGTGTGAATAGGTACATGCTATTCATATAGCCAGCTCAAACTAATTTGGGGCTAAAGTGTAGTTAGCTGATTGACTGAAGTACGACATTGGTCTACATGCTAATACTAAACAAAATGCTTTTAAGATTTTCATCTTAGAAAAGTTGAGTGTTTGCAACGTATAATTGGTATGGGAGAAATCAAAAGGTCTCGATGATTCTATGTAGTGGTAACATTATACTAGGTTTAAATACACTTATGTAACCTAGAATATTCGAAAATATTTTAAACACTGCATAATGACAGGTAAACTCTTTCTCAAACACTTAATAGTTCAGTGGACTTATCTTTAAGAATTATAAACTTGCAGTTATAAAACTTTTTCATGGAAGGAAGTTGGTCCGGTAAAGCAGGGATATTTGGCTTACAAAATGTTAGTTATTAGATCTTCAACTAAATACCAAATGAGCCTTGCATTGATGTTGTTTTAAAACTCAATTGTTAAAGAAAAAAAGAAGCATGGAAGAAATGCGCACAGGAGGTTCAAACCTGTCGTATCTCTTAAGCAAGAAAAGAAATACTTTATATATGTACATTTATGAAAATTTTCGACAAAGTGGGGAACTGCTTAGGTCAATGTGCATCGCTTCTGACATTTTGAATATGCTCTGGTATGAGGATGAATGACATCTTTTTGTTTTGCATCATCTTATAGTTCTTATGCTGCTCTATAATGTTCAATTTGGGATGCACAATTTAGTATTAGCCATGTGATATATGATATAGTTTCCTCTTGCAGTATCTTTGTTCTGAAATCAGTTATCATCCCTGCATTGGAATGGATATTACCTGGTCATTGCCCACAAATCAATTCTCCAGAGTCATGTTCATTTAGCAGTATTTTGGAGTTCTATCGATTCTTACGTGGTGGGCTTGTACAACTTTTTAATGTGAGTATATACCCTTCTTAGTGGGGCCTAATGGTGATCTCGACATTAACCATGTGATCAACATGCATTCTTTTTTCATAGATCATTTTTTCCTGTTGAAATGGAGTAGTCTACTTTTGTAGAGATACTAACTGAGTTTAACAGAAACTTAACCAATCCCAAATCTGGATTCTGTACTTAGGGGAAAAAGCATTTGTTTCATCTTGTTTCTACTGATATCTGTGCTATACAGGTGTGGAGTGAATTGGATTAGATTAAAGAGGCATCCTTTATGTACTAAATTTCAGTACGGAATTAAGATGCACACGATTTGAGTGCAAGAAAGAAACTTAAGGTGTAATTTTTCAGGAAAATCTGAGCATTTTAATTGCAGTATATAAGTGATAACCAGTCCTCGAAAGACTTAAAGCAGCTGCTGAAGTGTAAATGTTGGAAATAGGTTTTGTAGTGGGAAACATGATCTTTTTTTGTTGTTTTATATTTCTTTTTAATCGGATTGTGGCTTCATAATGTATTTGGGATAAAACATGCTCCAGTGGAAGCTACTTTGATTAGATTATTAGTAGTTTTTTTTTCTTGATCTTTATTTATTACCTTTTTTGCTACCTATTTTATGCAAAAACACTGTTTTTAATGTTCCGTCTGTATTATTAGCTGGTGTTTGCCTAATTTGTCTGTATCATTGTTATCCTTGCAGGTTTTCTGGTTCTACCCGTTGTACATATTCAGCCTTATTCTCAGCAGTATCTGGTAATAGCTTCCCTTCCCTTTTCAAAAAAATAAAATAAACTAATTAATTAAAGAGGATTTTTTAATTTTTTTTTTAAAGAATCTAGTGATAGCTTCCCATTTTGGTTCATTACAACAACAACAACCCAGTGTATTCCTACAAGCCATTTTGGATCATTTATTTTGTTTGAATTATTCAGATATACTCCGTTATGCTGTGATTTATCTTAGGCTTAATTAGCCAACAAGGTCTCTAAAGTTGCACTTATGATTATCTTGGCATTTTGGAATGGTTATAGGAGTTTCAATCAATCAATCAATTGGTCCTCAAGTTGAAATACTGGGGGTCAGTATAATTTTGGTTCTCTAAAAGTAGCAGTTCTCTAAGTCTCGCACTTATTGCTACATGAAAATACAAGTATCTAATCCAGCATAAAAGGACTCTTGATGAATACCGAACCTAATTTAAGTATAATAATAACTAAATTTTGATTCTAACTAGTTGGTATGCCTACATGGATTCTTTGCTTCCAGTGTGTTCTATCTTTTGCTAAGGTCACATTGATTTGTAGAGCTTGTAGGTTTCTTGAGGCACTTTGCTCCTTTGATTTTAAGTCTACCTTATCCCTTTTTATTATCATCAATCTTCACACTATCGCACCTTTTAGTCCCATGATGTTGAGTAACAAACCCATAGTTACTGTGAACTTGCAAATGGAGAAACAAATGGTTGTTATCTCTTCCTTCTCTTTGCAAAGACTACATTATTACATAATTGGAATCCCCATCTCTGTAGAATATCCTTTTGTGAGCAAAAGAAAATCACTAAGATTCATGATTTGAGCACATATATGTATAACTATGCGATCACCACTGTGGTAAGCATACATCAACAACTATATTTATTATGCATATATTCTCACTTAGGACATCCAGATGCTTGATAAAATGATGGTTTTCTTGATCTCCTATGCTTGAAATGATTTTTTTCCTCTGGTAATGTAATTCAGGTACAATGACATTGCTAAACATGGGTTTTTCGCTTTGGAGAATTATGGGGCTCGTGATACTAAGTTGTCTGATCAAAAGGAGTCCCAAACTTTGCAAAGCACAGTTCATAGGGAAAAATCAACTGATCTTGAAGGGTATGGTTCTACTTTTTGCTGGTTAATGTACACTGGAGCAATATTTTCCCACTTCAGAGAATATCTTCCATGTAGAGATGTGCCTGCTATTCACCAATTGTGACTTCTATTTTATTTTTATATTTCATGCAGGTTTATGATCAGTATAGCGGAGCAACTTTATTCAGTCCTCTTACTGACTTTCTTCTTCGTGGAGGTTAACTACTTTTATACATATCTTTGGTTCTCCCTTTATTAAATTCATGTCTTCAAGAATACAATTGGATACTGCAGGTTTATGTTACTGGACTTATCCCTTACATCGGGAAAGCTCTAAATTTTATGCTTCTGTCATGGATGTATGCATACTATTGTTTTGAGTAAGTGCTGCTTTTTATCTCAATATTGCTAGTTACTGTTCATTCGAATGTTCATAAAAATTGCCTAACTTTCCAGGTATAAGTGGAATCTTTCTGGACTAAGTTTAGACAAGAGGCTGGACTTCTTCGAATCAAACTGGGCATTTTTTGCTGGTTTCGGTACTACATTTCCTTCAATCGATTTCACTCATTTCAATGGTTTGTTTTATCAGTCATGTACAAAGATATGACAGTTTTCTTAAAACCCTCATGAGCACTCTTAGTTTTGACTAATTTCGACATTGTTTTCCTCATATTAATATCTCGAACCAAATTGCTTGTACCAGTATTACAAAATTCGCCCATTGGTGTCCTTGAATGACTTGTTGGTAATTGTCAAGCTTCTGTTCATATCATTAGTAAACATTTGAAACAGAAGTTCTCCTCAGTCGAAACGACAGTGTGAAAGGTCATGCAGTCACATTCTTGTTTAGAGTTTTTTTAACCCTCTAGATCGTGTGAGACCTTTTTCTATTTTAACACATAGTACTGTTTATCATTTGAGCATTTACTTTTAAGTGACATGGATCATCTTTCTTGCAAAAATTAATCTGCCATTCAACTTTCCAGGAAATCCCTGTGTCTTGGCAATATTTTTGTTCTCTCCGCTAGTGAGCTATGGGGTTATGGCTATACTGTTTCCACTGGTAAATACAAAGTTCCAATCTCTGTGTTACTTAGCTAGTTCTTTTGTTTATAACAAGGTTTATGTGATGATGGCAAGCTGTTATTTTGCTTTTTTTGCTGTTTCTGTATCTGCTTATGACTTTTAACCTTTTCTGCATGAATCTTATCGCGGGGGTGTCTTATGACTAGAGCCAGTTTTAAGAAAACAGTGTAATGACACGCACCAACCATGTGGTGGCAAGTGATTTTTGTTCTAAATACAATTTTTTTTCATATTTATTTTCATTTTACTTTTGGTTTCCTTTTCTTTCTTTTTTCTTTCTCTTTTTCCTTTTATTCTCCTCTTGCAGCCTTGTCAACATTACCGCCACCACTGCCATAACGACCACCTCCACCTTCTGCTTCAACGCCACTTCTTCTTCTTCTCCAGCGCCACCC